GAAGAGCAGGAGAAGAAGATTAACATTAAATAGGGATGAGAGGGAGGAGTGAAAGGGAGAGAGAAGGGAAATTGCAGGGAAAGGGAAGGTGATCCTCAGGGTTATATAAAATTACATACAAGAGGAAGAGAGGGGTAAGGGAAGAAGAATACAAGTGGAATAAATGTTTTACAGTAGTGGTGGTTGAGAGAGAAGAGGGGAGGGGAGGGGATGGGAGGGGGGATAGTAGAGGATAGGATAGAGAGCAGAATTCATCAGACACTAGAATGGCAATGTGTAAATCAATGGAAATGTAACTGATGTAACCGATGTGATTCAGCAATCTGTATACGGGGTAAAAATGGAAGTTCATAACCCTTCTGAATCAAATTGTGAAACATGATATATCAAGAAAGATGTAATGTTTTGAACGASCAACAATAAAAATAAATAAATAAATAAATAGAAATTAAACAGATGTTTTCTGAGTAAATTTGCTTCTAAACTTCTAAAGTTACTTAAATAGTGTTACTCTTTGAAGTAATGACATATTTTATAACAGAGAAAAATGAACAAGACTATTGTTCTTACCTTATCCAACTTGTATGTTAGCATTTTAAGAAAAGTGTTATGTAGTAACAATTTCATTTGCTTTGAGACTTTTCCTTGCTAACAAATCTAGGCAGCAAACATGTTATTTATTAAATATTATTTTCCTTTCTTTTTTTTTCTTTTTTTAAACATTTTTAATTTGTTTTAATTATTTATACATGACAGTAGAATGCATTTATGCACTTTGGTACATCATACATAGATGGAATATAATTTTTCTTTTTTTTCTGAGTGTACATGTTGTAGAATCACATTGGTCATGAAGTCATATATACACATAAAGTCATAATGTCTGTTCTGTTCTACTATCCTTCCTATCCCCACATCCTCTCCTCTTCCTTCCCTTCACTTCCCTCTACCTAATCTAATGTAACTCTATTCATCTCTAATGCTCCCCTATACTTAGTGTGAATTAGCATCTGCATATTATAGAACACATTCAGCCTTTAGTTTTTTGGGATTGGCTTACTTCACTTAGCATGATAGTCTCCAACTCCATCCATTTACCTGCAAATGCCATAATTTCATTCTTCTTTAATGCTGAGTAATATTCCATTGAATATATATACCACATTTTCCTTATCCAGTTATCTACTGAAGGACACTTAGGTTGGTTTCATGTTTAGCTATTGTGACTTGAACTGCTATTAACAATGATGTGGCTGCATCCCTGTAGTATGCTTATTTTAAGTCCTTTGGGTATAAACTGAGAAGTAGGATAGCTGGGTCAAATGGTGGATCTACTCCAAGTTTTCTGAGGAATCTTCATACCACTTTTCATAGATGTTGCACCAATTTGCAGTCCCACCAGAAATGTGTGAGTGTACCTTTTCCCCCACATCCTCACCAACATTTATTATTGCCTGTATTCTTGATGATTGCCATTCTGACTGGAGTGATTTTCCTTTCTTAAGGAGAAAATAACTTTCCAACAGAAGTCTTCTAACTCCAGAGGCCTGTGTGTTTCTGAAACCAGAGTCAGCCTCCATCTCATGTTTCAGTGCCAAGAAATGGCAGCTCCATGGCGGGAACTCTTCTGGCCTGGAGAGCCATGCATGGAATTCCCCTCTCACATTCAGACTATTCCAAGAGATATTATTCTTTTTAGCTGGTAAATCTAGAAACTATGGCTCTCTTTCTGACAGGGGAATGAGTTTACTTGGGAAGGACTCTCAGTCACCTCAGCCATCCTGATGGTGGCCTCCCCACCAATGGAGGTTATGGACAAAAACTTTTAAATTTTATATTTTTTTAAGAAATAAGAATAATACACTTTATCTTAACAGAAACTACTTTAATATGTATTTTCAAAATATGTGTTACAAAGCTGAACCTCAGAAGATCAGAAGTCTTCACAAAAAATGCCATTTCAGACAGGGATAACTTTAATCAACCTCAGTTTATGGACAAATACTCTTAAATGTACTTTTCCCCCCTTCATCTGCCACCTCAGAGCACCATTTTAGGATTTACTTGTTTTTGTTGAGGCAGTTGTTCCTACTCAGTGGGGCCAGCCTTTGCTTTGGTTGATTTCTCTCTTTCCACCTATTCCACTGGATTGTTCCTCTGTTGTAGGGGACAGATGAGGCAAGGCACTGAAGATAGCAGGAAACAGTTTTATTTGGCTGCAGCCAGGTTCAGAGGGCACAGCTTGTGCTGTAATCAATCAATCCCCTGAACCCCGAGTTCAGAGTGTTAGGTACAGGACAGGCTGAGTAAGCTGTCTGCAGGGCATGCCAAACAAAGTTAGCTGCAGGATGACCTGGTCACTCAAACCCTCTGTCTGGTTCTTTATCACCTGTTTGCTTCAAGCCCAAATGCCCAAGCCCCCGCTCAAAGCTGAACACTCAGCCCCCTGCTCAAGGCCAAGCACTTAACCCCCTTGTGTGCCAACAGGCAGCTTGTAGACCCAGAGACCCCATTAGATTTGGACTATAAAAACTCCCTCCTGCCAGGCCCCTCTTTCTCTTGCTAGTTCTCTTGCTTTCTCTGTCTCTCTCTTGTGTTCTCTCTCTCTCTCTCTCTCTCTCTCTCTCTCTCTCTCTCTCTCTCTCTCTTTCTCTCTCTCTCCTTTCTCTCTTTTCTCCTCTGTTGCACTGCTGCAATAAAGATCTCTTGGTTGCTCTGAGTGTTGTGGTCACTTTCCTTTCACAGGGAGTTTCAGAACTTTATACCCAGCATTTAAGCAGAGGGGCTCACAAGTTCACAGTCTACAGAAGTTCACATAAAAGCAGCTTTTTCTTTCACTGTTCTGGGCAAGTTAACCCTTCAAAGACAACACCTGAGGAGGGGAGAGCTTCTCCTCCCCTTTTTTTCCTCCCCTGCCAGCTGTTACTGATACTACCAGTTATTTGTGAGTCCTGCTTCGCCACGTGTTGAAGTTTGAACATTAGAGAAGCACGCTGAGGCAAGCACATAAAGCAGGGTTTATTTAAAGAGGGGTAACGTAGACTTCTCCTGGGGGCGTTGTTGGGTGTGTGGAAGACTCTGCCTTTTGGTTTTATTTCCCCTCCCATTCCTCTCCAAAGGGCACCAAAGCCAAAAGTTTTCTCGACCAATTCCCGTGGGACACAGTGTCTGCTCATTCCTGAGTCACCCTGCCAATCAGCACCCACCAAGTCACCAAGCAACCCTTCTTAAACTGAAGCTTGCAAGCTTAGGCTCTCTGCCCTCTTCCTCTGCTCTCTTCCTCTTCTCTTTTCCTCTCCTTTCTTCCCCTTCGGGCAGCCCCCCCACCCATTACAATCTCTTGGGTGAGTCACTCTCCTTTCAGCCATAGCTGGTATCCGGGTATCCCAAGAAGTGAGGTGTTCTGCCCTTTTTATATCTCCTAGGCTTTCTTTGATCTCCTGTCTTTTCCCCCAGATCTTTCTCCTTCCTGTATGGGACTAGGCCCAGGAATGCTGGGTGGGACAGCCAAAAGGTGGGAAACAGGTGGGCTGAAGGGGGAAGGGCAGGGTGGAGAAGCCAAGGACACATTAACAACTTTATAGCTCTCTGTAGGGAGGGGCAATCCTGGGACAGGTTATCTTGGCAACAGGTTGAAGCAGGGGCAGGTTCTTGATAAGGGTAGAGGAAGGGCTCTGAAGGAATTAACATTTCAATCCCTCCATGGACAGTCTCCAACTTCTCAGACTCACTCATAATTGGCCACTTTGATCTGACCTGACTCAATTTTCCTATCTATACTGACTTCCTGTCTAATTCTGGCGTCCTTAACAGTGGAGCCCAATTGGTAACTTCTCTTATCTTCAAAATGTATTCATCTCTGTGAAGCTCCAGCTCAAGGCCAGAGGCCTTGTTAAAGGATCTTCGCTTTTTTTTTTTAATCACATTTTGCATTTGCAAACATACTTCTACAAACTACTACACTGGATAAATGTTTGTGGAAAAACTAGCAAGGGGGCGTTCAGCACCTGGAGTGCTGATCTCTTTCAGGCCAGTGGCCAAGTAAAATAGAGTAACAGGAAAATAGGAAGCTTACCTACACTGAACTCTTTTGTAGAGACTCTTTTGCTGATAATCCTAAAATCAACTATGGTGAAGATTTCTGGAGAAGCTTAATTAAGATTTTCTGTGGAGGAGGGGGTGCCACCACACCTCAGGCTTCTGACTCCAAGACCTACTCTCAGCTGGGATTTGAATTTTGCTCCCTTGTTCTCCCCACCCCAGTCCCCACTGCCCCAGTAAAGGTGAGAGGGCTTCCTTGCCCCAGGCTGTGCCTGGTGCTGTGGCTCAGGCTGTTTTCCTTGGCAAGGCATGGGTCTTCTTGTTGCCTTGTGGAAAGCAATTTAGCAAAACCTAAAACTGTGAAGAATAACAAAGAAGTGACCATCTTTCAGTGCAGTGATTTCACTTTTAGTAACTAAGGAAATAAGCAAAGAAGCCTAAAAAATTGACGCATGGAAATACACACTGAAGCATTGTTTATCAGGGGTAACTTTAAAGCAAATGAAATGCCCAACAATAAAGAAGCAGTCAGTTCCACAGGCCACCACAATGCAGGAGATTCACCCAGCGACCACCCAAATGCATTTCTTTTTCTGTTCCCTATACATCTTACATTAGATCTAGAATATGAATTTCATGAGTTTAGGATTTCCTAGTTCTTGCTCATTTCTGTACCTCCAAGATTTATGACACCTTTTGACTCTTTGTAGGCACTGGATGCAAATGTACTTACTCCTTAGTGCTGCTTGAACAAAAGAAGCTCCTAAACTCCTAAAACCAAATTTTACAAACTGAAGTGTGGCTTTTAGCAAATAAAAAGAAATTATTTCCTCCAGTGTGTTTGCTGGTACTTGTAATCCCAGTGACTCAATCTGCTGAGACAGGAGGATCACAAGTTCAAGGCAGGCCTCAGTAGCTTGGTGAGACCCTGTTTCAAAATAAGAAGAAGAAGAAGAAAATAAAAAGGGCTGGGATGTTAGCTTAATGATAGAGAAACTCTGGGTTCATGCACCAGTGCCACACCAAAAAAAGAAAACACCGTGTATGTGTTCCACAGGAAATGAGCTATTTTTAAATCAATATTACTTTAAATGTTTAATAGGCCATTCTTTTATGTACTTGTGGGGTACAATGTGATATTTTTGATACCGGTTTTGGAAATCAGGATTGCTTCCTCATTCCCTTGGTGTTGAAGATTAAAGCAAGTTTTATTTAAGAGAGAGAGAAAGTTAGAGATAGAGAGAGGGGGACCCAGAGCTGGGTATCCTCAGGGGTGGGTGTGTCTTGCCTTTTTATAGATCCCAGATTGCCTTTCCCGCCTGCCTACCTTGCCTAAGGGCAGGAAAAGAGAGCTCAAGGGGTTAGGGAAGAGTGATTCCTAGGTGGAGTTAACAACTCATTTCCTTGATAATTAGCCAGTTAACCCCCCTCTTTCCAAACAGATCATTTGCTACCTAAGATGACTTTCTGTCCTTTTTCCCATCTCATTTTCATATTAGTACACAAAGTGGAATGAAATTAAATTAATGAACATATCCACCGTTTTGCTACCTATAATTTTTTTTATGTTGAGACATGTTAAAATTAATTATTTTGAAACATGAATCATTATTTACTATAGTCTCTGCCATGCAATAGATCTCAAAATTGATTGTTTCTGTCCATGTAAAACTTTGTACCCTTTGATCAATAATTTCCTCCTCCGTATCCCTCCTCCCCTCCAGTCTCTAGTAATCATCATTCTCCTTTCTACGTTTTTTAAAAATGCTTTTTTAGTTGTTAATAGGCCTTTATTTATTTATATGTGGTGCTGAGAATCGAACTTAGTGTCTCACACAGGCAAGTGCACTACCACTGAGCCACAGCCACAGCCCTTCTTTCTACTTTTATGAGCTCAAATTTTGTTAAATCCCACATATAAGTGAGATTGTGTGGTATTATCTTTCTGTGCCTGCCTTACTTTAATGTCCTATAGTCCATCTCTGTTGTTGCAAGTGACACAATTTCCTTCTTCTTTCTCTTAACAGCTGTGTGTGTATGTGTGTGTGTGTGTGTGTGTGTGCGCGCCATATTTCTTTATCCATTTGTATGTTGATAGACACTTGATTGATTCCGTATCTTGGAAACAAATACCTCAATTAAAAAATGGGCAAAGGATCTGAACAGACATTTCTCAAAAGATGTTCAATAACACTTATCATCATTAATCACTAGGGGAATGTAAACTAAAGTCACAAATGAGCTCTATCTATTATAATAATTTGTGTCAAAAACATAAAATAAGTGTTGATGAATATGTGAAGAAGAGGGAATTCTTGTGCGTTGTTGGTGGGAATGTGAATCAACATAGTCATTAGGTAAATCAGTGTAGATGTTCCTCAAAAAGCTAGATAGAATCCCATATAAACCAATAATCTCACTTCAGGAGAGATATCTAAAGGAATTAAAATCAGTGTGTTGAAGGGATATCCACACTCTGATGTTCATCACAACAACGAGCTAATTTTAAAGATATGCCAAAAAGAAGAGTTGACCCAGGGTATCATTTAAAATTAAGGACAAGTAAGTTCTATTAATAGTTTCTATTTTCTCCCTTTTCTTTTAGGCTTTTATGTCATGCATGGAATTTGGTCATATTTTCTGGAAAGTTTCTTGTTTGGAATTCTAAATTCAAAACTGATTCAATTGTGTATGTCAACAGTTTTTGGTGATGATGTCCATCATATAAGTCTCATTCTTGCAGTTCTGTACCTCATCTTTTATGTTTGTAAGTGAAGTGTCAATGCCTAATATTAAATGATATAGAAGGAGTCAAAATAAGAATACTAGGAAAACAACTACCAGGCCAAAAAAGTTTATATTATTATCTATACAAGGAATATTTTTGGTTAAAATAATCTATCAAAAGAGATAATATGTGAATATTTAGACACAGAAAACAAGCTACCAAGAATGTAAAACAAATACTGTTATAAAAGAAAGATAAATGTGACAAAAATCACAGGTGCAGTAAGTACTTAATTGAATGCCTTTCCTAGAGAAAGAATTGTGTGATCAGCTGGACAAATAGTAATTTTGGTTATACAAAGATTTGTATAATAACTTATATGCTTGGTTTTTAAGATATACAAAGAATTTTACTTCCAAAGACACAATGCATATCCTTTACATATAAAGTAGGCTCTCAATATCTCCAGATTCTACATCAACCAACCATTGATTGAATGTGTCTCTGTATATATTTGTATATTCTTGTGTGCAGGCACAGACCTGTAATCCCAGTGACTTGGGAGGCTGAGGCAAGAGCATCACAAATTCAATATCAGCCTCAGCAATTCAGTGAGGCTCAAAGCAACTTATTAAGTCCCTGTCTCAAAATAAAAAATAAAAAGGGCTGGAGATGTGGCTCTGGAGATGTGGCTCAGCAGTTTAGTACCCCTGGGTTCAATCCCTGGTACAAAAAAAAAAAAAAAAAAAGTAGCCAAATAAAGTATTTGCTTCCGCCTTTAACTGTGTTACTAGCCAGGACAAAAATTAAAATTATAAAGTTTATAATTTTACATCTCTAGAAGGAAAGACTATTAAATTAAAATCTATCACAATCCAAATCAAACAATAACAAAATTTCTTGACTTTCAAATTTTATAAAAACAAGTCCAAAGTTCATTTAGGAAAATWATTGTGTGTGAATACACAACACAATTTATTTTTGAAGTGGACAATCTGCCCTACCAGGTAGCTATCCAAATATTTAATATGCCTATTAAAATGAAATACAGCTGTAGCAAATGAAATACAGCTGTAGTAACACATATACAAAGTTAGTCAAAGAAACAGAAAAGGACCCAGGCAGATGCAAAGATGCGTCAGAATGGTAATTTAACATATGATAAAAATAACACATCCACAATACTCCTTAGGATTAACAACAAATTTTGTTAATTGGAACAATGTCTGTTAAACATTCAGTGGAAATAAGAGCTTTAACAAATTTTACTGTATAATCCCCTCTGTTTTTTGAATGTGTGACTTTGTGTACATATACATTTGGGTGCATGCCAAGGGAACTCACTGAGTACTCCACTCCTCTTAAAGATTTTGATCCAATTATCTTAAAGTTTCAATTCTATAAAAATTCTATGGAAATCCAATGGTCTCATGATGCCTGATCCTGGGTTTTTCTTCTTCATGATCTCCTCTTCCTCCTTCTGAATATACAGTAGTTTCTGGTTTTAGACAAATTTACTGACGATGGGGAAAAGAGAAGTTCACAGGGGAAGTAATGTCACATAGTTCACAATTCTGTATGCTCTGACAGCTACCTCTAGTTCCTCACTTTTTCATCTTTCCTACTTTTCATCTTTTTCACATTTCACTGATCTCCAGCATAGAGATTCAGCAAGCAGCCAGGCCTGGTGGCACACACCTGAATTTCCAGCTACTTGGAAGCCCAAGTTCAAGGCTAACATGGGCAACTTTAATGAAAGCCTGTTTCCAAATAAGATAAAATTAGAAAGGGCTGGGATGTAGCTCAGGGGTAGGGCACTTGCCTACTATATATATATGCTAACATACATATTTTTTCACCTCTGGCAAAAATTTGTGCTACTGTTAATACTATTTTTTCCCCTTTTTAACAAAAGGTGAGTTGGTTGAAATGTCTGGAATATTCACTCTGGCCATTATGGGACTTTTTTTAAATTCTACGAGTTTTAAACCAGGAGTCGAAGCGCTTCTTCTCGAGTGAGTGTCTAGCATATTTTCATTTTGTTTCATTAGAAGCTATTAGATTAAAATAGTAATTACATTTACATAGTCTAAGTAAGACATTGACATGGAAACTATTCCACTGAAAACCTGTGTCTTCAAATGTTTTAATTTTAGGCAAAAGTTGTAACCCCACTTTTGAGTTTTTGTTGGTTCTATTTCCCTATTAAGTCCTGAAATCTCTGACCATCTACTCAATACTTTCCAATCTAAATCCTGAACCCACTTAGACCAGGCCAGGATTAAACAAGTTGAGAGACTCATCTCAGGCATGAAATTTCAAAGGGAAAAATATAATAATGAGATAAATATTTCAATGCAGTATTTTTTAAAGAAATGAAATTTATGTAAAAACATTTGAAGACTATTGTTTTAGAAACAATGAAGAGATGCCATATAAGGTAAATTAAAAGATTAAGGCAGGTGATTTAAAGAGGAATGATAGTCTCAGGAAAGAAGGTGTGGACACACTAAATGTGAGCCAGATTATGGGTGAAAAAGTTCATGTCTTGCTCCAATGCACCCAGCCATGGGATAAGTGGGATCTGTTGTCTGAGATGCTTTAATACACAGGTTTGGTAATCCAACCTAAATACACAATGGATACGTATGTGTAAACAGAGGCCCTGAAAGTAAACGATGATTTTTTGAGTTTGAGAAATATTACAGATGATATAATAAATTCAGAAGCCAGAAGCTCAAGGAATAAGCTCTTCATCAAGGAGAACGGCAATAAAATCATGTCAACTGCAATAAAAGTCAGTTGTACCTGTAGTGAGGGAGAATTAACTAGACCATGGTTGTGAGAGGAATTTAAAAATATATGAAAGTATTTATATCTATAGGAAGTGATTCAGAAAGCTCCCTTCACCTTCTTGCTATAACTGAAGGCTGAATCCCCCCTGAATCATCATCATCATCATCATCATCATCATCATCATCATCTTTCCCTTATAAGTTGTTGTGTGTTTCTCACCTGCACACTGGTATTATTGAGTCTGCAGTTGAGGTAGGTAATCTCTCTGCACCTAAAAGTCATTTCTAGATCATTCTTTCTCTTACTCCAGAAGAGCCCAGTTTTAAAATTCATGCTTTCAGGTTATACCATCTGCTACAATCTAGACTGTGGTTATCTCTAGAATCCTAAATTACACTCTCCATTTTGCAGCAATTTTGGCTCCTGTCTCTCTTGAACTGTCTCCAACATTTCCCCATCATTACTCTTAGTGATGTCAATATCCATTCAGTTGATACTTACACTCTGGCTTTTAGTTCCTGAACCTTCTCTCCTTTAATGAGTATGTCTCCCACTCTACTTCAGTCACCTACTTCTGTGGATATATAAATAAACACTATACAATCCCAATTTTGAGACCCTTGCTATTCCTCAAACATGCCTAGTGTGCTCCCCTGTTTAGACTCAGTTCTATCACTATACATCAGACTGGTGTTTTAGTATTCTATTTAAATGTTTCCACTCTTCCCAGATTATACAATCTTTTATTCCTGTTAAATTGATTTCCCCAGAATGCCCAGTCCATTATCATCCCTCCAGACTATTGGCTATTCAACACTGGACAATTAAAAAATAATACATGTTTAGATGTACCAGAATTAAAATCCATGAGAGTACAATCATAGGACTCATAATTTTTACACTCTCCCCATAAGCCAGGCACAGTGGTGTAGGCTTGTAATTCTAGTGACTCAGAAGGCTGAGGCAGCAGGATTGCAAGTTCAAAGCCAGCATCAGCAACTTTGCAAGTGTAATGAGACCCTGCCTTAAAAATTAAAAAAATAATAATAATAATAGTTATTGATGTGGCTCAGTGGTTAAGCATCTCTGGGTTCACTCGTGGTAAAAAAAAAAAAAAAAAAAAAAAAAAGGAAAGAAAGAAAAAGAAAAGAAAAAGCATATGTTCAACTTGTTTCTAGGACCCAGGCTAAGGAGGGCTTCCTTCTTGAACTTCCCAGGTTGCCCAGCTCCACTGGTGTGACCGCTCTGCTTATTACATGATCACTAAGTACTATATCATATTATCATGACGTCTTATCAGGGTTTATTTATTTATTTTTTCTTGTAAATTTGTATTCTTCACGTGCCCTACAGTTTACTTCATTATATATTTGGAATTTGCTGAGAGGACTGATAGTGTTTTTATGTCAGGCACACACAGTGTTTGAGGTGATGGATATGTTAACTAGCTTGTCTGTGGTGATGATTTCTTTGATGTTTTGAGGTTTGTATTCATGTAAATATCAAATAATAGACCTTAAAAATACACAACTTGTATTTTTCGATTATCTCCCATAAGATTAGCAGGAAAAAAAAGATTCACATCTCTGAACACCAGCTAGATTTTACAGGATGACTCAGTTCTATCACTATATACATCAGACTCTGGTGTTTTAGTATTCTATTTAAATGTAAATGAGTTTAGCTTTCCTAAAAGAAATGAAAGATTTTCCAATCAGTATTTTCAAGTTGCATCAGTGATGATGTCTCCATGTTTGAGTTTCATCACACAGCATGACTACAATCTGAATATTTCTTTCAGATACAATGAAATAAGAAATACACTAATTTACACACACACATTGGTTAGAATTGCTTCAGAATCTTTTGTTTACTTACCTTAGTGCCCTTTCTTTGTAGTTCAACTTTAAGCCTTATTGTGTGTTGACACGTGTCATATTCATCTTTATTTGATAATGAATGGCATAATAACTCATATTGGTAAACTTTGTAAAAAATTTGTTAGCTTAATTATAATTAACTATATCAATTTTTTTCTGAAAATGCAGATTCTGGAATTGTATATCGTTTGTTGCTTTTCTTATGGTGTTTACTTTTCTTGGAGTTTTAATTCCTGCACATACATATTTATATATATCATTTTCTGATATATATTATTCATTAAATATCTACTTCACACTGATTGTTCTAAGGTAAGAATGCTTTTTGAATTTTTCCATTTATAGGAAACAGAATAAGTCTTAAGAGTATTTTAAAAATATTAATAATTTTCATACCTTATATTGAACAACTGACTCAAAATTTTCAGAGTTATCAAAAATTAATGCTCAGTAGTTTTCTCAGTTCAATACTTCATAAAATTTCTGAAAATTAGAAGAAATAAAATTTTCATAATCTGTTAAGATTATTGAGACAACCACTATTAATATTTGGCGTCCATTGTTATTTTTCCTATGAAGTTTCAAGAAGTTAAGCACCTATCATAAATAGAAATCTGTGTTTTTGCTTAAAAGATAAAGCAATTTCTATGAGTTAGAATTGAAAAKACCTTTTTAAAAATTGTAAGGAAACACTCTTGTAAATGACTTTTCTCCTCAAATAATTTTTGTAGCCCCCTTTTTTTTGCAATTTTAAAGGGCAGACCAGACTGCCCATGCAGTTGATGCAGAGTAGCAAAACCTACTGTAATTGGAATCTCAGCTCCTCACTCAAATTGCTAACATTCCACTTTCATTTAGCAATGTTAGTTGGGTTGTTGACATCAACTCAGCTAGAGCTAAGTAAGCGGAAATTGGCCCCCAATTTTTTTATCAAAATTAGTGTCAAAGGTAGGAATGCTATGAAACTGAAAGAAGAAATAGAAAATTATTAACTAATCTTGGACAAATTTAGCAATGCTCAAATCTAGGAATAAAAAGAAAGGAAGGACATTCTCTTCTCATTGCTTATTTATTGAATTTGTTTTATTTCTTATTGGGATATAGAATATAGCTAAAAAAAATCTCCAATTTTTATTTCCACCTGAGAAAACACCACTCAAGAGTGATGTGAAATGACCCTACCACTTGTTCAGTAGAATGAAACAAAGAGAATAATGTCATTCTCTGGGCATGTCTCTCTATGGGATACTTTTGCCCTCCTTGGATTGTATGCCAACCGTGTGTAAAAGATGGCTCAGTTGTTTCAGAGTTAGCCTCTCCGTGGGGAATAGAATGGAATAAAATAGAGTGAAATGGTAAGAAATTTCTATGACAAGAATAAATTTTTTAAAAACTGTTTTATCTTTCAGACTTCTGGTTTTTATAATGATGAGTCCCATTTTGTCTCGACTTGGTCATGGGTTCAGCTGGCGCTGGGCATTCATAATGGTCTGGAGTGAAATGAAAGGGACACCAAACATAAGCATGGCCCTTTTGGTTGCCTACTCAAACTTTTCTGTTGGAACAGAAAGGGAAAAATCTCAAGTAAAGAAAGTTTCAGTTTCTTATTTGAATATTTTATAAAAAAAAAAAAAAGTGTTGCCGTGTTTTTAAACTATGGTTTTGGAGTAAAATAGCTCAACCCTACTTGGGCTGTAGCTATCATGGCAAGATTGGAGAGAAACTGGCAGGCTTCCTGTACTCTTCTCCACACCAGTTTATGTATTCCTCAGTTCCTTTAGAAGCCTTAAAAATGGGTGCATTATGAAGATTCAAGGAATTAAAACTTATAAATCATTTAAAATAGTGCTTGGTATAAAATATCCAATGTTTTAAATTTTCTTTACTCCTTAATATTCACTCAGAAGAGGCAGAAATTTACTTAAAGTTACTTAAAGCCTGAGCTTACTTAAAATTAATTACTTAAAGCTCTATTGCTTTATATAACTTTATAAGGTCACTTGTAGTAATGCTGGGGGGGGTGGGCGGGAAGCATTTTAATTATTAGGCATAGTATATCTCTAAGGTAGTATCCACCGATTGTTCAACAGCTCTTCCTCCACAGCATTTCAAGGCAAGATAATTGCAAAGAGTTCTGTGGGAAATTTTAATATATCTGCCATTGTCATTGTGTATGCATAAGTTTTATATAAATCCCAAGTGTAAAGGGAAGCATGCAAATGTAATCTTTACACGGCTAATTAAATAATAGCTCAAATATTTAAAAATACTAACTCTTTTAACTGTTTTTGAAACCAAATGATCTAATTTTAGATGATCTCCCTCCTCTTTTCAATCTATTTTCACCTGCCTGAATAATCAAAATCAACTTGACCAGTGTAATGGTGAACACTGCATATGCATCTGGGTTCTAAAATTTTTAGTTTGGTTGGGATTTTCTGTGTGGCTATCAAAAAGTTACTTTTTTCTCACCTCAAAGGTCCGTTTCCTCATTCTAAAACAGCTAATAATACCAGTGATTTGCTGGTAAGTGTTTAACAAGTATGTTCGTGTGGGGGCAGAGGTCATAATTTTTAGTATTCACTAAATTTCCGTTTTGTATTCATTCCCATCAACAGAATACAAATCTGCCCATAAGCTTCCTGAATATTCAATGATTAGCTCTCATGAGCTGGTAAGAATAAAATCTAGCACACCATTATCTCAAAGGGTTTCTATGAGAAATAAAAATTATATGTAAAATTCTTAGGACATTATCAGATAATAAACATATATCAAATATGAGCAATGATGATTATAGTAGTTTTATTTATGATAATAAAAAAACTGAAAACAATTCAGAGATCCTTCAGCTGGTAAATGTTCCAATATACTGTTGTGGATCTGTACCATGGAATGCTACTTAGCAATGAAAAAACAAATTATTCATACAAATTATTGATACCTTTTGAATCTCCAGAGAATTATGCTGAGTAAAAAAGCACATCTCAAAAAGGACAATATTAGCTGATTCAAATTATATAATACTCATTAATGTCAAAATTATAGAAGCATGAAATAGGAATAAAAATAATGAACATTTGTATTAATTATCCATGGATACATGACAAATGATCCCCATGTTTAGCTGCTTCAAAGAAGAAACATGTATTATTTTGATTTTTGTGAGTCAAAAGATTGGTAAGATTCAATCCTTGCAGGCAGCTGGACTATAAAGAGCCTTGAAGCTGGCCATAGTTCCTGTCACTGGGATCTCTCCATAGCTCAGTTCACAGTTAAGTAGCTGACTTCCCTCAGAATGAACAAACAAGAAAGCTAGAAAGAACACTTACTCACAGTTCTGATTTGGATTTCATTCTCAAACATGAATGAAGTATGCTCAGGAAGACAGAGAATCTCCAGAGTGGTTTCATCATGCTTGACATACAAATTTCTTACCTGCCATGAGCATCTATTAGCATCATACAACTTAGCTTAATTTACAATGGAAAATGCAGAATATATTATAGTAAACTATCCTGAATACTCATTTTGTGTATTTCTTTTGAATTCTAGGTACTATTTCATGGAGTGTTGGTATGCTTAATTAATCTGATTATCAATAGATTTATTTTGCCGATGGCAGTCACTAAACTAGGTAAGCACTCCTATTTACTATTCTTAGTGAAAAGAAAAATATTCTAAATATGCTAATGAAATATGCTAACAATAAAAAGTCCATGTAAAGATTAATCAAAGATTTCTAGCTGAAGATAAAATTAAATTTCTGTGTAAAGTTATATTGATGGTTCAGGCCAATAAGATTGTTTATTTAAAAGGATTAGTGATTTCCATTAGTCTAGTGTATCTAAATCAATAGTATAATTCTAATTATTCAATAACTTTACAAGCCTCCTAGATGATTGGTACTCCTCTGACTGGTAGTATTACAATCTGAAGTCAGAAAAGATTTCTGAACCGAAAGATCCTATGTTAAAGTAAAGAGAAACGGTAAATAAGTCAGAAAATATCAGTCATCTGTGCATCAAAAAAAAAGTATTAAATAAAATAGAGAACATAGCAGATGCTAAATTCCTGAGGAAGCTAGAAACTGGGTGTGTTTAAGAACAGAAAAACGTTTGAGGTATTGGATCTTAGAGAATAATGCAGATAATTCCTCACATATGTTTAACTGGCTTATGTGATTATGGAAGCTAAGTGCCGTATCTGCAGCCTGAATGCCTGGGAACCAAAAGAGTGAATGGGGTAAGTTTCAGCCTGAGTTCAAAGGCAGGAGGACACCAATGTCCCAGCTCCAAGGCAGATAGAGAAAGTATAATTCTCCTTTGTTCTGTCTTTATTTCATTCAAGCCTCCAACATATTGAATGAGTCTCAGTCACATTGGAGAGTCTACCATTTTAAATGTTATTCTCATCCACAAGCATCCTTACAGACATACCTAGAACATTGTTTAACCAAATATGTAGGCACCCTGTGGTCCAAAACCAAATATGTAGGCACCCTGTGGTCCAAGCAAGTTAACACAAAAATTGAATCATCTGTTCTTCTGTTTCCTCATCAAACGGGAAAAAAAGGACTCACCTGAAAAGATGGTCAAGATAACAAAACAAACAAAAAAAAAATTTAATACATGCAAAGAGCTGAGGCATATTTTCCAGCATAAAGTAAGCACCCAATAAGCATTAGCTCTTATTGTTGTTATTGTATCTTCACTTTTTGTAAGGAGTGTGAATGTTAAAAAAAATTGTTAGCATTCCTATTATTAAACAATTTATAATGAATCTTTATTTAATGTCTAAAAACCTTTATTGATAATAAGAACAAAAGTAAGCTCTATAATCTATCAAAATGATGGTGTTCTTATTTATGAAATGTGCTCTTTTCATTGAAGGTCTTCGAGATGTCACATCAACAAAATATAAATCAGTTTATTATACATTTCAACATTTTCAAGAGCTAACCAAATCTACAGCATCTGCACTCAAATTTGACAAAGATCTTGCTAATGCTGATTGGAACATGGTTGAGAAGGCAATTGTACTTCAAAATCCATATGCAGTAAGCATGTAATATCTTTCTATTCTCACAAACTAGATGTGATTGTTGTTTAGTACAAATCATGTCGTAAATACTAATTCATGATTTTGCATATTTGTAATAAACAGAGAAGTTTTATTGGTTATTCCTTGTTTACCATAAGAGAAAGGAGGGAATCTTGAAAAATTAAGTGATCACTGTGGGACAAATAAGTCAAAACCCCTTTGAATATTCAGAAAATATATATTGTAAGTTCAAAAGAGGGAACAGCATATTGCATTCCTCTGCAGAGAGAGAGGAGGAGGTCCAAGTTGTAAGTTGGTACAAAGTGGGTGTGTCCTGCCTCTTTTATAGATCTTAGATTTCCTTTGTTCTCAAGCCTGCTCTTCCCGCATATCTTGCCTACATGATCTAAAAGGTGGGCCAAAAGGTATAGTGATCCAAGGGCAGGAAAGAAACTGCCCAGGGGTACTGGCAGGAAGCTAGCAGCCCAGAGAGTATTCATTAACAACTCTTTGTAGTAGGAACAGTTCCTTGGACACAGGTAACCTTGGCAACAGGTGACCAGGAAGGGAAGTGTCCTGAATATATTAGCATTTTATTTCTTTTTATTTACAACCAGCCCCCATCTTCCCAAACCTACCTGATCATTCATTACCTACACTGACTGTCCTTTTACCCCACCCCAACCCCCGCCTCATGGTTGTCAAACTATAACTGAAGCAGAATCGTTGAATGAGTTTGTAGCAATCGCTGCCTGCCTCTCCCAGTTCTGATTTGCTGAGTCTCAGTGGTTTGAGAAAGTGCATTTCTAACAATTCCCAAGTGCTGCTGTTGTCACAAGGGGACCCCATGGAACTACTGGCTTAAAGTATGATCATTCATGTGATAACTTTTGCAAACTTAATAAAGCCATGTAAAAGTAAATATATGATATTACTCCTTCCCCTAAATCTGGCAAATATGTTACCTCCAGCATTATTGAGCAAACCGTGAGGACTTTTGAGCAAATGATGAGCATAAGAACATTTTTCTGTATCTTCCAGATTTTCTATCATTTTTTTTTAAACCAAACTAGTGGGAGGATTGTTTGGGGTTTATGCTAAACAATGCATTCCTATTCATGTATTTTTTGTTGCTTTTTAATTTTTTTGTGTGTTTTATTTAGTTAAAACAAGGAGAAACAACAGAACATCAGAAGGTGGTATGTCCAGACTGTAACAAGGAAATAAATGAGACCCTTAACATTGAAGCAGTAAAGCTGGCCAACAGGCGCCTCCTGTCAGCACAAATTGTGAGTACTCTATCATACTCATTTATTGACATTTAGGGGCCTAAAGTTATACTGAAAGCCCTCTCTCTTGCTAAAAAGCAAAGAGAAGTTCAGCATTTTCTTAGAAATTTGCTTGACAAAGAAAAGGAAAAGAGGGAGGGAAGGAGAAACTGGGAAGAAGGAAATCTACTCAAAATTAGTTTAAGTAAAAGGTAATTTATTATGAAGATTTGTAAATTTCACAGATACCAGTGGGCTAACCTTCAGGTGTGTTAGACCATCAGTTCCTTGTCACTGCCTTCTCTAGTTCCAATTCAGTTTTTCTTGGAAGGATGCCACCAAGTCCTCTAAAAAATGCAGGTAGAGGGTATCCTATTTTCATCCAAATCTGGCATAAAAGTTATAGACATTCTGTACTAGTAGAATATAAGACTCAGACGTTGCTATTCAACTACCCATCAGGATCTTGACTATTTGCTGCCACCCATCATCTCAAATATTCATGTTGGGCTTTCCTGTTGTACAAAGAGCTATCAAGCATTTATCAGCTATTCTAGCCACATGGGGATCTAAGAACTGTACTCACTCAGTCTAACCTGGGAAACAGGGGATCTGTTAAGACATGACTGTTCTGTCCTCAGCAATAGTCCTGGTAGAAAACTTGTCTGAAAATCACTTTTAGGGGGGACTTAAATGACTTCATTAAGCATTTGATGCAGTTTCATGAAGAATGAAACTTATGGGTTCGGGTTGGGGCTCAGTGGTAGAGCATTTGCCTAGCACGTGTGAGGCCCTGGGTTCGATCCTCAGCACCACATAAAAATAAATAAAATAAAGGTATTGTGTCCAACTACAACTAAATAATAAATATTAAAAAAAAAAAGACTGAAGCTTATGCCCACATAGTTTTATTCCTCCAACAAGTTTTCCATTTGTACCAAATTAGGTATTGCTGCTGGCTAGGCAATAGTTTCCTACCACACAGCTTCACAAGGGGAAAAGTCACCTTTCTTGTTCTATCCTCTCTTCTAAATCCAATGCTGCAGGGGGCATGAGTCTGTGAGGTGAGTGGACAAAAGCCATTCATTCATCAGGTTTCCCTGGGAAACCACCTCTGAGCAGCTTCTAAAACAAAGACAAAGAGTTGGGCTGTTTGAATACAGTAAGCCAGCAGGAATGAGAGGGAAAAATTGTCAGTGGGAAGGAAACAATGGAACAGGCTAGACAAGCAACCAGACCAGAATTCCAAAATAGAAAAGGATTTAGAAACAAGGGAGTAGGGCTAGTTCTGGCATAACACTGGATGAGTTTGACTAACCCTTCATGTGTGGCTTCCTTAATCGAAAATAATTGCTCCCTTTTCTTAGGAAAGCAGAAAGGGAAGTTTGCAAAAACTTCCTCCATAACTGCAAAAAAAAAAAAAAAGTGATAGAATAATGAAAAAGTTCATGAAATCTGCTATATAATTTAGGAAGTAGAAATCACTACTCTGTTTTTTGTTTTGTTTTGTTTTTTACAAGTCAAAACATTTGCAGTGAGATAGAAAAGAAATCCTTAGGAGAATATGAACATCACATCATGAAAAAAAAAAATCAACCACTAATTACATAATCTTTACCTGCCCAAATATGCTATTCATACAAATATTACCCTCAAAATCTGTAAAGGTGACTCTTTTCAGACCACTTCTCAAAATGTTCACGGTTGGCCTTTCCCTTTGTGTAAGGAGCCATCACCCATTTCTCACTATCAGATCATCCCTGAAAGCCCACACCTCAGCCTTTATCTCACTTCACCTTGGACTTGAACTGGTTCACTGTGTTCTCCTCTACAAATCTACTACTCAGATTTGTAGAGACATCCATTTTGATCTCTCCCATTTCTCATTTGACTTTTCTCCAAATATTTACCTCTACTTCTCCACATAATATAATTGCTAGCTAATTTTCCTAATAACCCTTCTAGTCAAACTCATGACCAAAGGCTCTGCCACTACTACAATCAATTTCCCACCCCATCTTACTGTCACACATATTTTGTGCATATGTAGCATATGTATACATACACAGAATTTTTCCAATCTTAAAAGTATGTCATTTTGTTTACTGTTATCTTTGCACATGAAGTTATTGAATTTTACCTTTTAGTAGAAGTCATTTACTTCCAAGGTAAATCTGATAGTGAACCAGGGCAGAATCCCAAAGGTATGATCCGTCATTAAACTGTTCACCTTTAATGAATAGCATAATGTGTAGCACAAAATGGGTGTTAAGTTAACGTCTGCTCAATTGATTAGTGGTGATTATGAGAACAAACAGATTGTCTGTTTTGCCATCTCAGTTTTGCTCTGCTTTGCCATCTCTCTTGACACTTTAATTTTCTCTCCTTGCCTGCTTTCCTTCCTTCCTTTTTTTCTTTTGTATAGAGATGTTTGTTTTATTCTAATTATCATGCTGATTAGTTATACCTTTTGTTTCTTTTGGTAAACCAATTTAAAATATATCTAACTTTATCTTAGAACATGTTATAAACATTAATACTTATGTATCTATACCTTTTAATTAAAATGCCAACTACAGCTCTTCGTATAGATATATTTTCCCATTTCCTTTTTCTCAATATTGCTATGACTTTATTTTTTAAAAGGCAAAAAGAAACAATGTCCTGGGCACTGCACCAGTGGCCAAGAATACAAAGATACATTTCATTCAGTGTTCTAAAACAACTTTGTTACTCCTCTTTTAATTTTAACTTTTATATTTTATAATTTTTATTCTAACAATCATGCTCATTAGTTATTTTATAAACAAGTCTTTAATAGATGTTCTTTCTTAAGCATTATATTCTTCAACATTCAATTTGATATTATTTTATAATTGTACTGATTATTTGTAACAACATTTCCAATTGAGAATATTTAAAAATTTATGTTTTAATGGTTTGGCTCATGCTTTGGCCTAACATTGGAGAAAAAGCAATTTGATTAGTAAGTGTCTAAAGATGATTTAGATCTGAAACTATGAGAGCTGCATCTAACTGATGATATGTTCATATAAAGATAATGCAGTAATAAGTATGAAATCAATAAATTAATAGTTATGAAATTAAATATAGCCTCTTTTCCTGCTTAAATGGTTGTAAAAATTTTATCCTTGTCACTTAAAAAATTTATGAGGTCTTTAAATCACTTCCTGATTTCTTTCTTTCTTTTTTTTTTGGGGGGGGTGGTGTATCAGGGATTGAACTCAGGGACACTCAACCACTGAGCCACATCCCCAGCCCTATTTTGTATTTTATTAGAGACAGGGTCTCCCAGAGTTGCTCAGTGCCTCGCTAAATTGCTGAGACTGGCTTTGAACTCTTGATCCTCCTGCCTCTGCCTCCTGAGTTGCTGGGATTACAGGTGTGTGCCACCATGCCCGGCTCAGATTTCTTAGTCATTTCCAAAAAATATAATATTCAAGAAGCATCAAAACAAATGCAGAAGGACTTCATTTCAAGTCTTGCTATTGTCATTAGTTCGATGTGTACCTCAGGACTACTCCTTTTAGTCTTTATTCTAGAAATTATGGAACAGGAGACTTTGACCAGCCTCTTTGGTTCTTTCCTCTTCTGATAGTCTGCGTTTTCTGCAATAAACACTCCATGTGTCTTTTTGATTCCTTTTCTCAAATGTATTATTTATACTGTTACATCTCTGATTGGTGGCTCTGTACGCTACGTCTTAACCAGGAATCCCTAGTTTTCAAAGCTGAATCTCTCCCTTCTGCCTTTTAAATCCTCAGCTTACTTTGTGAGGTTTTAACTCATCTTCCTTCCAGAGGCATTTTTACATTTATCTTCTTTTGCTGATTTGGTTTCTGCAATCTCAATTGTAATAATAGAAATTCATCTATAACAGTTTTCAGAGCTTTGAATCTCAGCCACTTTTTGTTAACTGGGAGAATATCTTCTCTATTAATATATGTTAGGAAAAAAGCATAGCATGACAGAAAAAAAAAAGTGGTACAGAAGAGGTGGCATACCAACTCTTAGAAGAACATGTAGGGTCAACACTACAACATAAGGCTATAGGCAATGACTATAGGACTCCTAAATTTCATGAAATAATACCAAGAATTCATAAATGGGAAGGCAACAAATTAAAAAGCTTCTGCACAACAAAGGAAACAATTAAGAATGTGAAGAAGGAACCTACAGAAAGGGAGAAAAATCTTTTGCTAGCTACTCTTCTAACAGAGGATTAATATGCAGAACATGTAAAAAACTAAAAAAAATTAACATCAAGAAACAAATTACCCAATAAATAAATGGGCAAATAAACTAAACAGACAATTCTCAAAAGAAGAAATACAAATGGCCAACAATACATGTTTCAAAATGTTCAATATCTTTAGCAATTAATGAAATGCAAATCAAAAGTACACTGAGATTTCATCTCATCTCAGTCAGAATGACAGTCTTCAGAATACAAAAAATAATAAAAATGAGAGGATATGGAGAAAAAGGAACACTTTTACACTGCTGATGAGATTGTAAATTAGTATAACCACTATCAAATCAGACAATTAGGAATAGAAGCACCATATGACCCAGATATATCACATCTCAGTATTTATCTCATAGAATTAAAGTCATCATACTATAGTGATACATGCATATGGTGTGTTTATGGCAGTTTAATTCACAATAGTCAAACTATGTAACCAGGCTAAGTGTCCATCGATGGATTAATGCAACATATTCACACAATAGAGTTTTATTCAACTATACGAATGGGGTAGTTTTCCTATTTTCTCTTTTAGTGGTTTCATCACTGATGTATAGGAATGTATTTGAATAATAGGTGTCGATTTTATATCCTGCTACTTCACTGAATTCATTTATTCTAGAAGTTTTCTGGTGAAATTTTTTGGACCTTCTAGATATAGAATTATGTCATCATCAAATAATGGTAGTTTTTCTTTACCTATTTGTATCCCTTTAATTTCTTTCTTCTAAGTGCTCTGGCTAGATTTACAAGGATGATATTAAATAGAATCGGTGAAAGAGGAACTTCTTGTCTTGTTCCAGTTTTTAGAGGGAATGCTTTCAATTTTTCTCCATTTAAAATGATGCTTGTCTTGGGTTTAGCATATATAGCTTTTATGATGCTGAGGAATGTTCTTACTATCCCTAGTTTTTTTAGTGTTTTGAACATGAAGGAGTACTGTATTTTGTTGAATGCTTTTTCTGCATTGAGATGATCATTTTTGTATCTGTATTCATCAGGGATATTGGTCTGAAGTTTTCTTTCCTCATTTACAATAGCCTCAAAAAAAAAAAATACCTGGGAATCAATCTAACAAAAGAGGTGAAATGCCGGGGTCCTGCCCTAGTGGGGTCCAGGGAGTCCTGAAGGATGAGTGGCATTGGCAAAAAGATGAGACAGGAGTCATTCTGTTGGAGCAATCTCCAGAGAGAGAGAGCTCTAATGCAGCTTTCTCTGGGTCATCTTTTATTGCAGTTTTTCTCATCATTATAGATTCAGAATACGTCATTGATTATACAATTTAAAACTTTTGCCAAGACAATTTAAAACTTTTCCTTAACCATGATTAGGGGTACAAAAAATGTAACTTTAATTTACATTTTTACAGGATATGACCTTTAGTTATTTAATTATTAAAAGTACAGAATCATTAATAAAATGCATCACTAATTTACATTTTTCAGATTTTCCCAAGATTTACTATTTTCCCCAAGATATGCTATCTTTTTTAACTAATGCCACACTAAGTAACCAGACTCTAAGTCTCCTAACCTATCATTAACCTTTAAGTTTAAAGTACACC